TAGTAATTGTGTTCCCAGTATGTCATCTTCCACATTTGACGCAACTCATCTACGGAGTCATATTTTGAAACCTGATCTATTTATTGCACAATAGACTGCAGTTTGAAATGTTCTTTTAGCATCAGCTCTGCTTCTTTCTATGACCTAAGAGGGAGGTTTGGCTGAGAAAGAGTTATCTTATCTGAGCAGCTCGGATGCCTCTCTGACATCTCATCATTCTTTCGTTCAGGACAAAAAGGAGGAGAAAGGAACAGCACTGCTTGGTCTCACCCTGCGAGGAATGCAGGTTTATCAGGTGCGTGTTATTAATGCACAGTTTGTACGTCAGCATATGTGTACACAGAAAACCGATTCTGTGTTAGCTCCAAGACGTTCTCCTTTGTATCGGTAGACCTAATAAACCTCCCCGAATAGCTGTGCGAGGAATGTGTGGGATTGCCACTAAGCAGTCCGTTATGAGATAGCCGCCTGCTGTGCCTGTCAGTTGTTTGATCTGTCAATCAGGGGCCATTTAAGTGGGGGTCGAGGGATTAGCGATCAGCCACCAGGCCTGACTGATTCTTGAAGCCAACAGACCGTGAGATATCTGGAGAATCTCTTGGTCTTATTCAGGTCCAGATGGCACCAAAATAAAAAAATTACTTAATTATTAGGTGTTCTAAAAGATATCAAAGCAGATTACATATTCCACAATCAAAAAGTTAAATAAATGTCTGCTTTATCTCCATAGGAAGAGAACAACATACGACAGCTGCTGTACGACTTCCCTTGGTCAAATGTCGGCCGTCTAACTTTCCTGGTACGGACGCTTCTCGTTTGCACATTCTAGTTCCCTCTTGAGAGTAAGAGGACACTTTGTAATTATTTAATGTACATTGCTAGTTAATTTTACATTGTCTCATTTAGGGGAAGAAATTTGAGATCCAGCCAGATGGCTTGCCATCAGCCAGGAAGCTGGTTTACTACACAGGCTCGTCGTTCCGTTCTCGACACCTCCTCTTGCATCTGAGCAACAGCCACCAGGGTTACCTCAGCCAGCAGCCAGCCCTCAAACACCTGCGACAGGTGGAGGAAAGCAAAGGTAAAGAGAAGAAAGTGTGGGATTAGCGCTGTTTGTTAGAGCCGCTGTACAGACCTCAGTACTTAGGACCTCTACACTATGAACACAAATAGTGCCCACATCTGTTTGACAATTTAACAGCATTTAACTTTCCCTCAATCTATAAATAAACCTGCCAAGTGAATTTTATATTTAAATAGTTGAAACTCCAAATATACCAAAATATGAATGTCCAATACCACACTAGCTAACGTCTGCAGTCCCTCTTATCTCTGCTCATGAGAGTACAGCCAAACAGTACCAGGAGGCTTAAGAAGACACTCAATAGAACCAAATTTGCCACTCTTACTGGTAGTAAAATTTGTCATGAATAAAAATTGTTCCACTGAAGGACTCTTAAGCACATATTAAATGTTTGGCTTTACAACTTTATGTGTCGCTTGTGTTAATCTTTAGAGAAAAGGCGCTACAGAGAGTCCTACATCAGTGACGACCTGGATTTGGATCCGCCGGGCAGTGAGAGCAGCCCTGGTCTGTCTCGACGCTCCACTGGCAGCTCCGGCATTGAAGCCGACGCCCGCCAGCACAGCATCAGCACAGAGATGGCCTCCATGGGGGAAGAGGGTCTTCAACATGGGGAGAAATGTTTGAGCTCAGCAACCAGCCAGGACAGCTCCTCCATCTCTGAGTCTGACGTAGGCTGTAAAGATCGAAGAGAAGAGCAACAAGATGGAGGTGGGATTTGTTTTTACATTAAATACTGGAAAAGGTTTTCAAAAAGAATTTGCAGTTTCTTTTTGTTTCTGTTTTTGCTCTTGGTCACATGTTAGTGTTTCATAATGTAGTTTTCAATGATTATTTCTTTTATAAGTGGGGTTGAGGAGCTATCTAGACCAACTTGGTCTTTTGTGGAAAGGTTGAATCGTAAATTAATTATAACGAAGCACAATTTCTAATCCCATTCTACTAACCTAATCCATATCAGATTACTGCCAGACCTGTCAAACTAAGAAATCACTAGTGTAGAACTAGTCTGACATCATGAATTAGGCTAAAATATATAACAAATCATATCCCAGTTAGGAGAAATTCAAAAACAGATGAAAGTCATTTATATCTAAGGCTAAATATTTGGAATATCAGAAAATAACAATGAGAACTCTTATCTTCAAATAGAGGAAACATGAAACAATGATGAATGAATTCCCAGACTAGCTTTCCAAAATTTCTCCAAGTGTGCATTAATGCCTCATCGGAGCCACCCAGCATCCCATATATCTTAAAAAATGGCACAACCAGTTATGTTTAAGGAGCATTAAATTTCACATGTGGCCAAGTTGGTTCTGATGGCTTTTATACCTTTTTAGTAAATCAATTATCATTTGAGAAATGCTTCTAATAAAATAAGTTGATTTAATGACCTGAAAAGTTCAACTGCAACAGTAAAGAAAAGACAGAATTCTGTTTGCGGACTAATGAATTTTCAAAGCACTGTACTGTTTTGTTTTCTAGAATTATTTTTCTAATGTCTATTAGACCTTACTATTAAATTTAAAACTTTTTTTTCTGGATTTGTGATTGTGAAAAATGATTTTGCCTGCTTAAAATGTATGCTGTCTTCTAGCAATCAAGACCAGTGTTGGTAGTCCAGAGGAGGCTCTTGTTGATGAGCGGCGCAAAATTTCCCAGCTGGCCGATCTTCTTGATGGAGTGTCTGTGGGTTTTACAGGACGCTGTGCAGAGACTCAGTTACTGCGACAGGTGGAGAAAAGCAAAGGTAAAGAGAAGAAACTGTCTTCCTCCACATTTTGTAAAAGTAGCGGCTTTTATTCTGAAATCCGGTCCACTTTCGTCATTACCAATATTGACAATTTAAATCATGTGGGCTCCACAGAATACAAAAGGCAGCCTCAACATGCTGATCAAGATACTTCGTTGTCTATCAAGAACATGGTAAAAATCAGTTACTCTGAAATTTTATAACCCAACACACTTTAAGATTGTGTTAGATTGTATTTCTTTTATTTATTAACATCAGTTTCTTCTTCTTTCTCATCGATCCTGAAGTCCAGACCGCGGACTTTCCCCAATCACCACAGACTAAGCGATGTCCGTCTATGCCCACCCTCTGAAATGGCCTTGCCATCCGTTTCGTCCCACAGCTACACCTCCGAGTTCCCAGACGTCACACAAGGCACAAAGACATCAGCAGATCCCAGTTATTACCCCTATCTGCACTGCCAAGCCAAACCCTCCTTCTATGGCCACAGGTCGCCTAACTGCCTCTCTCTGGACACTTTAAGTGATGAACAGTTCCTGGAATTCATACTCTGAGATCATGAGGGATATGCCTAAAGTGTTCCTTCATTTAGAGAGCAGTGGAGCTTGAGGCATTCTGACTAGGTTTTGTGTCATGAGGGATATTTGTATTTCATATTGGAGGCAAGATATAGAAATTCTGTTAAGATGTGATTTTAATGGCGGGAAACTAAAACGACGATATTTCAACTAATAAACCGCCCATATTTATTCATGATGTTTATTTTGTACATATTGCACTTGTTTTATTGACGTGCATATCAATCATTTATTAAAAACATGGATTTTTTTTTATTGTCTTTTGTAAAGACCACCATATGAACATTTCTTTAAGTCTTTCTTTAAACTGTGTAGAATTCCATGTTTTTTTTAATCCATCCATTGCAATTGTACATTTGACACTAACAGCCCACTCATGTTGATTTTTTTTTTTGTCTAATATTGTAATCAGATTTGATGTAGAACTTTTGTACTTTTTTTTTTTATGATATGCTGTTTGGCATAGATTTTTGTTAGTCTCCATTCAGTTTTTAACAACTATCTTCAAAAGTGCAACATTTAACCTTTCACAGAGGGCAGAGCCTTAATCCAAAGTTTCTCCAGTCTGTCCTGTCTTCTGCCATAATTGCAATACAAATGTGCTATTGGTGAAGCACTATTTTTGTGACCAGTACATTTTCTTTCTTTTCTTTTTTTTTTTTGTTGTTGTATGGATCCAAAGCATTTTTGTATTATGTAACTCTTCCCAGAACAAAAAGCCTTTGTTGGTTTTCCCTCTCAATTTTGTTACAACCTTGGTTATTTGTACAAAGTGAAGTCTTTAGCTAATATGAGCCACTTTGATTTATGTTCTGTTATGAAACACACACACATTTACATAATGCCAAATTGTTATTAAAAACAGCCTTGCATTGCAAATACTCTACGTTAAATTGTAAAAAGCGCATTTAAAAAAAAACGGTAAAAATAAAAAAAATACTCATGGTATGAAATTATACAAGAATTTTTGAATTTCTGTTTCATGATGCATGCCTAGTTTTCCTTGCAATACAGACAGCAGTTTGAAAGTAAACGTTGTCGGTGTACTGTAGGATCCTTGTCATTCCATACACTGCCTCCAACTGGACAGTAGGTGTAAGTTCACAAAGAAATTCAAATCCCATGGCCAGCACACTATTTCAGGCTTAAACTATATGTGTAAAATCCATTAACACCAATTGATTGTTGTTAGAAAATTACCATTATGTTAAAGTGAACATCTTGAATCATTAGCAATATCTTACCTCAAAACTGACGACTCTCTGGGAAGAGTTATTGAATGCTTCACATGTAACTTTCTGCAATTGAAAATTGAAAAATAACGTTTAATTCAGCATTCCAACATCCAACATATTTTATATTCTTAGTGTAGAGAACGGCACATATGTGGTAAAATCTTTAAAATGGTTATATACATTTGGAATGCATGTAGTCCATAGAAAAGAATTTATACACTTGACGATATGTGTATCGTCATATTTACTAAATTAGAATTAAGTTCAGATGACGCGTGCGTTTGTATTAACATACCTTTTGAAAATAACATACGCAGACGTTAAACATACTCTTTATTAAGCTCAAATTTCTCATGTTTATTTTAATGGTCTGATGTAATATTCTAATTTTAAATGTCACGTTAGCTTTGAGGGGGGGTAAAAATCCTAATAACTAGCAGACATCCATCAGTGTGCTACATTGTGATAAAAGTCCTCGGTTAAATACAAATGATCAAATTGAATAGCTCATTACATACAAGCACGTACAAAAAAATTGAGTACAAGATGAAAACACGAGCTTCAATATCTTTGAATGCCTTAATACAACTAAAACGCCAAGGAACACAAATGCATTTTACATAATTGAGAGATGAAAATGTTTATTTGGTGAGCTGTGAAGTTACGCGAACGTTTCATTCCACTCTCGCGAGATTTCCGGATTACGTTTACGGAAGTTTATATTTTTATTGGGAAAACGTGCAGACTGTGCCATTTGTCTTCTAAAAACCGGTTGTCGTCTCTTTTACATGCTCGGCACTATCAGCCTAACTCATAAACAATGTCTACCACTTTGATTCAGGCGGTACTGAGCAGCTCTCCTAATTACGATATTTTGTTTGAATCTCTTTGCTGGCCGGAGGATTCGTGGCCGCAGACGGAGCGTGTTGAGGCGCTCACTGCTCTCATCGAAGCTCTCGGACCGTTTCTGACCGACTCAGATTCGGTTCAGACTTCACTGACAGGTGTAAACAAAAGGGGCATTCGTGACAAAACTGAGTCGGTCATTTGGTCGAAATGTCTGCCATTTCTTTGCAGACTCTCAGCAGAAGCGAGTGATGATACGCGCTGCAGAGAGAGCACAGCCTCTGTCTGCAGATTGCTCGCTGCCTCCGTGGGTGTGTGCGGGGAAAAAGTACGGACTAGAGTGGTTTCATCCATCCTGCCGTCGTTACAGCGGATGTCAGAGGAGGAGCCGCTTGCGCCGGGGGCTCTCGGCGTGCAGGTTGCTGCTGAAGTCCTGGCTGCTCTCATGCCTCTTCTTACAGCGGACGAAGAACTCACACTCGACACTTTAAACTGTGCGCTGTCCTCTGTCAGATCACTCCCCGATGACCTGGTATCCAAAGTGATGGTCAGGATCATTTTAACTTCGCTCAATTGCTGCAGCGATGCGAGCTCCAACTTCATCCTCAAGCGCGTCCTGGATGATGTTTGCAGCTGGCACTCCACGGAGCGAACAGCGGTGGTCACAGAGAGGACGCTGCTGTGTTTGACCGTCCTGTCAGACCATCTCCTGAAATTTCACATCGCCCCCTCCTCCGAGTGCCGCGAGGCCGACCCACGTCTGCGTCCTCAGTTCTGGGTAATTTGTCAGGACGGACTGACGCACAGGGACAGCGTGTCACGCAAGAGGGCACTGTACCTGTTGAAAAGATGCGCAGCGTTATCCGAAGAGGAGGGCTTTGATTCCCGTTCTACATCAGAGGATGGTAACGTACAGAGTGCCGTGCAAAAGCGTTCTTACTCATTCAGTTTTGTTTAATTTTCATATTTTGTCAAAATCACATGCTAACAAGTTATGCGGTGTATTTGTTTTTTTATTGCTTTTCACTCAAAATATCATGGAGAAAAAGTCTGGAAGCAGACAAAACAGAAAGACTTACAAAACTGATGAAACTGACCGGAGGAGTCACATTGCAATAATCTAAGTATTACTGCAACTATTAATCCCTCACTTAAATGTTTGAACTAATTAGCATTGGTTTTGGACAAAATATTTTGGATAATAAAGTTATTACATTACATACAGTCTATACAGATTTGGTGTATCATTTTGTAATTGCATCAGAATGAAAATGAAATATTTTCACTGATTAAATCCCCTATAACAACACTGGAGAAAGCAGAATTTTCTTGTTCCGTCTCTGCAGTTTAGTAAAGATATATATTTTTTTCAGTGTGTTTAAAGCTCAGCAGTAATGTTTACATTTTGCATTTTAAAAATGTAGAAATGTTTTTTTCTAACATAGTTAAGCTATTTTACTTGAATAGACAAATTATTTGCAAAAACAACAGGCTGGCCTTGCAACACAAGAAAATCAAGTGTACCTTTTGTGACATTCTTTTTTTTTATGATGGCAGCAAAACAGGTAGCTTTTTTCTCTATTTCTGACAACTGACAATTTTCATTTTTTTTTCTACATAATCGATGCAACCCAGAGTATTCTCATCTTTGAGAATGGTATGTAGTTGGCTAAAAAAAAATCTTTTGTAGGAGAGACATTGTTTAAATGGGTCCCCAGTAAAAGCAAACCGCTGAGGGAGTTCTGGGAGGACTACACTCTGGTGATGGAAACGCTGGAGGAGAATCAGGTAGAAAGTTCTACGGAGTTGTTGCCTCACAACCTTTTTGAGACATTCTAAAACAAACTGTTCAATCTCCCCCTGTGCCCCTCTTTGCAGGTTCATGTTGTTCGACCAGTTTTAAACAGAATTGACACGTTAATCCAAGCAACAGTGAATGATAGTGAAGGTAAGTTTTAATTGTTTGAATGCTGTGTCAAATGACTTACCTTTTTATTCATTATTTTATGTATCAAGTTTTGTCTAATGCTAGAAGTGTGCTATTCTTAATGAGCTAAGGCTAATAAAAACTTGGAATGTTTTGTCAGTAATTTTTGTTGCTTTCTTGAAGGTTCTAAACAATCTGTAATCTATTGACATAATCATGAAAGATTTTCAAAACAACTAACATGCATCAACACTATAGTGAGTTAACTCTGAGTTTGTTGACCGGTGCTACAGGGTCAGGCCTGTTCCACCCGTCCTGGCTGCTGTGTGTGTACCAGCGCATGTTCCACAGTGAGAATAAATCCTTAATGAGAGAAGGAGTGTGCCATCTGCTTCAGCTGCAGATTCTTCAGCAGCCAGCCTTTGCAGCAGCATTTTCTCAGGTGCACAGTGTATTTGCTGCAAGGCAATTCAAATCATCATATGTCACAAAAATCATTTCCTTTTCTTTCTTTCATTTCATTTTAAATCCTTCTTTTGATGCATTGCTCTTGTAGTTTGTCGTGGGTTCCTTCATGAATGTTCTGTCTGAAACGTCCCTTTTCTGTAGGTGAGGATTTACATTTGTTTTTGTCAAGTTCTGGAGATTATGTCATTAGTTTCATGTTAGTTTTATCTAACTCAGCCTCTGTCAAATATAGATCACCAGGCCAGAGTGTAGGAGACTGTCCTGAGCTGGCGGTTAAACTCCAGGCCTTCCTGGTCACCTTCTTCACAAGCCTGCCATTGGAGGACAGAGGTGCAGCTGGCAAACAAATTCATGAATCCATGAGTCACGTTTCATAATCTATCTCTAACTGTTGTGTTTGCTCTGCAGGTTCTGTTTTGTTTCAGCTGATTCAGCAGCTCAGCTCCAAGCACTGGTGCGCCGTACCGCTCCTCTTCGTCTGTCAGGCTTTTTCACATCTCCCTCCATGTCCTTTGCTGAACATCAGCGGCCTATCTGCTCTACGGTAAGTAATGTCATCTTTGGCTACATTATTTTAGGCCATGAGACTGATTTTACAGTATTTGTGCCTTGCATTCCAGGGAGGTGCTACGCTGCACCATGATCACTCATCAAGTTCTGCTAAGAGGAGCTGCACAGTGTTTTTTGCTAAAGAGCGCCCTCTCTCTGACAGATGTGGTAAGATGAAGATGATTATCTAGAATGTTAAAAATAAAAGGCAATATCCTTCAAATAATTATGGTTGTATGTGAAACATATTAAAAAAAAATACTGTTACAGTTTAAGATGACTATCGCAAGAAATACTTTTGGTAAGGAGAGGTTGTTTTGACATTTTAGGAGCTGAGCCAGTTAGACAGAAAATCTTATCCAAAAAAAATAAACAAATTACTTTAATTTGCTACTGTCCTGGTAACTATTTCATAGTAAGTCATTATTTTTAGTCAATTGTGAAAAAACATGGTTAAAAATCTGAAAATTGAATTTGAAACCAAGTGTAACTATTTGCTGGTGCTAATAAATATTACGCACAAGCAAGTTTCACTGCTTTCCATGTTATGTGTACTAGTTGTATTGGGTACTTGGAAAAATCCAACTAAGTTTAAAGTTGTTTTTTTTTTATTTATTACAGAGTGAAGTGACTGTAGATGACTTATTTAGTTTCCTGGTGCATTTTCGTGCTGATGAGTCTTTGTGTAGGGGGACAGAGCTATGGAATGAGGTTTGCTCCTTACTCACACATGCACTCTGAAGTATATTCAAATACTGTATGAAAAAAGTTGCAACAACTGATTATCACTTCATGTTCTTGTGAAAGTTGTGCATCTGGTTATTGGAACATGAATGCAGTTTCAAGTCCAGAATTCTGGACAGCGATTTCACCGATGATCCCACACAAAAAGAAAGCATAAGAGCCTATGTTCAACAAGAGGTACTTGCTTATCTTCGTGTTCCAGCAAGCACAGGTGAGTCTGGTGTGGGAGTGTTATAGAAACAGAGAGAATTGTATCTGTAGATGTGATGTATTTGCATGTGATTCTTATCAGAGTCAGTTTTCGTCATACAGGTCAGGCAGAACGGTTACCTGACTCTAGAGAGGCTGATAAGTTGGCAAGAGCCCTTCTGCTGTGTGTGGACATGGAGAGGAGGCGACTGGGAGGACAAACCAGTAAAATTCTGGGTTCAGTGCTGTCTCCGCTTCTGGACACCCTGAGCAGAGTCTACGCCAATATCTACCTTCCTGTCCGTAAGAGTGACAAAGGTCTGCAGCTCCTGCTTAGACTGCTGCAGCTTGGGACGAAGCCATGTGGTCAGCAAAAAGAAGTGGAAGGTTTGCGTTCAAACTCCTTAAATCTTCCCCTATAAGTGTTGACTTTAATACTGTAAATTCAATTTATACATAGATTGAATTAATTGAAAGAAGACTGAAAGGCTCTTTCCTGTCTTTTTCTTAGTGTTCTAGAAAATACAACAATTTATTTGATGGACTGGAAAGTAAAAATGCACTATATGATTTACAAAACCTTTTAGCACTCCAATGTGCAAAGTACTTCTCTTAGCGTGACGACAGGTAAAATATCACAAAATTTCTCACTAAGAGTAAAAAGTAGGCACCATTCATTCTTGCCCCTTAACTGTTTTTGTAAATAAGTGTATAAATATACAAGTGCCCGACCCTCAGTTCTTACAGATTTAGACTTACTGGAGTCTGAATAAACCACATGATACTACCCAGATTAATGAAATTGCCAGTGTAAACCTTTTCTGCTTTGATTAATTTAGTTTTTGACTGATTACACCAAGATCAATTATCATTTCTTTTAAATTGACATTATACTTGGCATACTACTAAGCTGAGTTAGTAGGCCAAATTGCTGAAGAAGCTGGAACTGAGAAAAAAAAACCTAAAGAAATTAAAATGGTGGAAATTTTACTGTGAAATGTGTCAAAGAAATACAATAGGAACTTCATAATAAATAGAAGTAAAAACACAATAAGACATTTTGGTTTGCACTTGTTAAGCCTTATGTTTGTTTCACAGAGGATGAGGTGATGTTTGCCATTGAACAAACCTTTCTTAAACTTGTTGACCCAGTCCAGGATTTTATCCTGAGGAGGCTGTGTGGGGAGCTGCAGGAGGTAATCAGAAAGAAAAGCATTCTACATCACTGTCCAATTACAAAGAACCGCTCAAGAACTCAGATGTCTGCACATGCTTTATTCTTTGACAGCTCTTTGACGTTGAACGGGCCGAGCTGTATCTGTGTGTCCTGAGGCAGCTGGTTGTTATGTGCAGCTCATCATCTCACTACCACAAGGACATCCAGCAGTTTGCTTTCCTCAAACTCATAAAGTACAGCCTTTCAGTTTTGCTTGAGCCAACCCAACAGGTATACATTTAAATATATGTACTCATCATCAGATCTGCTGCTCTAAAGTTACGCAAGGACTGTTTTGTGTTTGTCTTAGGTCCCATCTGTGGCCAATCAGGTGTCCAAGGCTGTCAGTATGGCTTCTTTGGCTGCTGTGTGTGAGCTCTTGCAGCAAGGAGGAATTGGTATGAGTGCAGATACTGGTTCTGCCCTGAAGTCCATGAATGATTATTTCTACACTTTGAGGACTTCCTCACAGTGTCTGTCATCTCTTGGAAACATTAACAAATCCTTGATGAAACCACAGCTATTAGGTAGTTCAAGGTTTGTGGAAACTCCATAATGAACTGAAAAATGTATATATTCAATATAATGCGATGTCATTATTACATGTAAAAATGTATATATATATATTTAGTATTGCGGTGCCATAATTAAATTTTTTAAAAAATATATATAATTTTTTTTGGGTAGTGACCTTGAATCTCAAGGCCTCCTGCAACAGGACTGGGGACGCATTGCTGCCAACTTCTTGCGGGACCAGTGGATTTGCCTAAATTTCCTGATTAGGACTGTAGGGATTAAAGCATCTGTAGAAATTTCCCAAGTGTCCGAGACCCTCAGAGCTGCTCTGAGTTGCAGCATTGAGGCCCTGGCTCTGCTGCCCAGTGACCTTGTGCTGCCCGTACTAAACTTCATGAACGCGCTGCTGCCACAAGTGAGTATCAGTCCAGCAAGAATGATAAATTTAAGGACATGATGACTCTAAGAAAGTTCTGAGGCTGATTAACCTTCATTCTCATAATCTGTTTTTTTGATCGTAGTTGGTACAGGATCAGGAGGACCTCTGTGTGCAGGCGGTCACTCTGAGTTGGGAGCTTGTACAGGGGCTTAGCACAAACGCTCATGACTTTTGGCCAGCACTAAAGGGCTTCATCTCCATGGCCTTCCAGCACAAACTCCTGCAGCTGACACATGATCAGGCTCCGATTCTCACGACTGCACTGAAAAAGGTTATCCACACTAAGACAAAGCAACTTTTCTCCTCTCGATATCTTCCACTTTCTATGTTCAGAGTTCAAATCTATGATGGTGTTAAATGGTTTTGCTTAGATTTTCACAGACTTGTTGGAGCTGTCTCAGTCGAAGAGCGGTGTCTTCGGTGTGCTACTTCAGCACTGCTGTCAGACCTGGCTGCCCAATGACCCAGGCAGCAGGGATCAGGCTGCTGTTGTGTTCTCTAGTGTTTTTAACCACCTGGATATAGTCACTGAGGCCTGTGTTTATGGACCAGTGTTCAGGAGAGATCAACGGTTAATCCACGCAACATTCCCTAGGCTTCTGTTCTTGTTCCTCAATGTTCTTTTAACAATATTACTTCTTTCATTTTTCAAAGACTCGTCCTGGATGTCCAGATATATGTAGAGAAACTTGGTGCAACGTGTGCCTCTAATGTTGCAGTTGCGAGGTAGGCAACGTTTTACCTCTATGGAGAACTAGCTTCTGGCTTGTTAACTCACCAGATGCTGTGAGTTAACAAGATCACCACTAGAAGTCACTGTTGTTGATGTGCTGCTTTTGTTTCCCAGTGATATCAGGGATGATCAGCTGCCCCGCATATGTGTGCTGACATTTCTTAGCCGCCTGGATCCTTCTGATCAGCAGCATCAGAGACTCATGGAGGAATTAGTGATGGAGCTGCTGAGAAAGGTACTAGTTGAACGTTGGGTAGATGGGAAAATTGACCAATGCAGCATGCAAATCAGTTTACCTGAAAATCTTTTTTTCACCTCAAATATTGTTTTAATATTTAACTTTTTTTTTGAGAAATATAAATATAAAAACATGTTCTGCAAAAATGTTTTACTTTTTATTTTAAGATAATGTTGTTGTGGAAACAAGTTTAAGAGGAAATATGTAAGAACCTAAGAAAACCAATCTAGCTTTATGATTTATTTCTTAATAATTATATGTAGAGTTTAAAGTAAAACAAATCTAAGAATTGCTACACAAATTGATACTCTTGATAATAAATAAATCTGAGTAAAACATTTTTTAAGTGAGACATAAAACACTGAACTAGTACTACATGACATCGTTATTTTCTGTAGCAGAAATTCAGGAGTTCATTTTTCACCAAAGTGGAAAAGAGAAGCAGTAAGATAAATGGGTTACGATTTCCATAAACCAGGAAATGGCTACAAAAAATTGTTACAGTGCTTTGAAAAAGAACTGGTCAATTTCCAATTTTGTTGTGCCTGTTTCTTTTTGACACATTTTCCTGTCAAAAAAAGATAAAATGCTAAATCCAAGTAAAATTAAACTCAGCTCAGGTTAGGCACAGTAATTAGTTATTTAACAAAAGAAGGCACATTGGGCCAGGTTAGTTTAGATAGATTTTTCCATTTAATGAATTAAAAACAGCGTTTTGTTTTTGTTCTGTAATATTTGAAATTGCAGTTTTACTGATTCATTTGTGCCATAAATGCATGAACTAATTCAGCCAATGCAGTTCACACCATTTCTCTCAACCCCATCTTCACAGGACAGCCTCATATCAAAGTCCAAAGTCCGTTCCTATGGTAACTCCCTGCAGCATCGGGTCAAAAACAGAGCATGGCAAACACTGCTGCTGTTGCTTCCCAAACTCAAAGAGGTGAGTTACTGACAGTTTCTCTGAAACTAAGAGATTCTAGAATAAAATGTGAGTTTCACGTTGTGCCTGCAGGAATTTGTTGCCACTCTGGTGAACCACGTCTTTGAAGCTGGATTTTGCAGCAACCAGGCCTCAGTGAAGTACCTGATTGAATGGATGATGATTCTTGTTCTTGTCAAGTATCCGCATCATATTGACAAATTCTGGAGCTGCTTCAACTTTGTGAGCTCATTTTCTACTTATATGGTTGAACAAATAATAGTAAAACATCAGAGAGCCATATATTTTACTGTTGTATTGCACAGGATCACGAAAAGACCAAGACGAGCATCTGCACATTCCTGTCTGTCCTGGTTCACTTCAGTGTCATCATCCCACATGTTGAGGATAAGGTAACTCTCTTTAGCTTTCTATATTCTAATGTCATTCCTAAATATTTGTGGACAGCTTTTGTTTTTCATTGTTCCTGTTAAAAGCTCGGGCAGCTGCGTAGAGCTCTGGATGTCATCCTGCAGTCGTGTTTCAACCACAACTTCAGCGTGCGCCTGTATGCTTTACTGGCATTGAAGAAGGTGTGGAGCCTCGCAGAGGAGGAGGAAGAGAATGATGAAGCTTTCAAGGGGCTGTCTTCTGTGGTGACAGCCTGTCTGAACCAGGCCGAGGCCATGCAGAGAACCGGGTTAGAACAGCTGCTGCAATAACGTGTTCCAGTGCACATAATGAGCTTATTCAAAGACGGTTTTTACTGTTTTTCCTCAAAGAAATGCCAATAAGAACTGGCTGAGGATTCAGGGACACTTCTTTTTCGGAGCCTTTCATCCCATAAGGGATTACAGCATGGAGGTGGGTTCATTGTTCTACGAACACATAAGGTCTGCTGAAACACAGTTACTCAAATCAACTGTTTCCCTTTTTTGTTTGTCTTTTAGACCATATTTCACACTTTTCCCAGTCTGTCAGAGTTGGCCGACGATGAGTGGATCCCACCGTGGAAGTTTGAAAAGCTGTCATCCTTTCCTAAAAATCTGTTAATCCCATTGAGGAATTCTGCTCCTGAGTTGGGCCAGCTCCAGGCTGGAGATTGGATCCAGCAAGATCGAAGTACAGAGACGTTTTTCTCAGCTGGAGTAACTATTCCATGAGGTTAGCCCATTTTATCCTTACTGTGTGTGTGTGTAATGTCATATTTCCCAGGCGAGCAGGATAAAGAGGATCGCTGGTCTGAGGTGCAGAAGAAGATCACACCCTGGAGGTCGGGGGTCAACGATCAGGAACCCGAATTGAAGCTGGTTCCGGCTCAGCGGGCAGCTCGGCTGGGCAAACAGCACGGCAGCCTGCTGGTGGTGGCCTCCTTGATTGACAAGCCCACTAATTTAGGAGGTTTGTGTTTAAGTATAATTTTTCAAACCTTATCACACATGCTATATTGGGTCTGGGCTTTGACTGGGCCATTCTAATGCATGAGTATTTTTGATCCAAACTGTTTTAGTGGAACTCTGTCTGTATATTTCGGGTTGGTCTCCTGCTAGAAGGCTAACCTCTGCATCAGTCTCAAGTCTTTTTGTAGCCTTTAAATTGTTCCCCACCGTCCTGTTGAGTGAAATTACATGAAACAGATTAACATTTTTGACTTGTTGCTGTTGTTGTTCCAGGTCTCTGCAGAACATGTGAGATATTTGGGGCGAGCGGTCTGGTTCTGGACAGTCTGCACCATCTTAATGACAAACATTTCCAGTCCCTGAGCGTTTCAGCTGAGCTTTGGCTTCCTTTGCTAGAGGTGAGATGTGGAATTTATCCTTAGCAACATTTGCTGAGGATTAAAGTACAGTGCCCATCAAAAGTATTAATAGCTCTCCCACCACTATAGCCACAATCTTTGATTTCAGTGGGATTATATGCTAACACACATTGAAGGATAATGATGCATGGTTTAATTATTTATTTATTTTTGCAAATTCTGATTTTAATAGTGATCATTTTTATTCATCTTCACTGAGTTGAAACTTTGCAAAACCACCTTTAACTGCAATCAGAGCTGCATTTAAATTTTTTATATATATACATGTCTCTATTTGCTTTGCTCAGCTAAAGAAACAGATGTGTCTTTGTAAAATTCTGCAAACTCATTCAGATTGAATGAAGAACATTTATTTAATATTTAATATTAAATGAATGTTCACAGTTTTAAAAATTAGCAACACATTTTCAGTTTGATTTAGATCCTTCCTTTGACTTAACCATGTAAATTACCTGTGATGTTAAACTATTACAGCTCTGGATGTTTGTTTATGGTTATCCTGCTGAAGCATTGACCTTCACCCTAGTTCTAGGTCTTTTGAATTTGATGCTGCTACCTTCTCCAAATATAGCATGTTGTTCTTAGCCCAGAATGTTCAAGATTGTTTTTCATGATATGGTTTGTTCTCTAAGGTTTTCTAAAAACAGTTGTTGTGAACTGAGTAGAAATTACCCTTAGTTGGATTGGGTTGTATTTTTACAGTAAGGGGGTTTGAATTGTAATAAAATGAAAGAAAGTTTGTGGTTGAAATGTAAAAAAAATAATTGAAAAAAGTTCCTGGTGTGTGAATGTTTTGGAAAAGCTTAGTGTAGATAAAGAGGAAATCCCAGTAGGGAGATAACACATACAAAGTAATAACCATTCTGAATGATTGTTAAACTGTGTGAACCCTGATTTACTGTAGTCAGTATCTGTGTGCAACCAGCTTTTTTTGCTGTGTTGAACTTTTGTGCTGTTTTAAAGTTCTCTAGATGCTTTACTGTTTGATGGTTTAATTCATCTCCAACATTCTTCTGTTTTTTGTTCTTTTTTTATTTTCAGGTGAAGCCCGTGGAGCTCACTCATTTCCTCCAGGTAAAGAAGAGCGAAGGTTACTGTATTGTTGGAGTGGAGCAGACTGCTAATAGTCAGAAGCTCCAGGACTTCAAGTTCCCTGAAAAAACTCTGCTACTTCTGGGGTAGGAGGACACTAAGAACATTACAGTTTAAAAAGGGGTCAGAGTTCTGTTTTTTTCCATCAGAGCAGTCACCGGTCTCTGTCTTGCACGCCCTTGTGGGTCTCTTAGTGCTGAAGCCAAGAGCTGACAGGGCTATTTTAGTGTCCTCTCACCCGTTAAGTTGTCGCCCCCGTGGGGTTTGCTCCCCTCCTTTGCCTTGTGTACCTGTCGGGGCATGCTGGTCTATAATTAATTGGCTGTTCCTGAGGGAAACGAAGGATGGGAATTACTCAAAATTACACAATGAGCATGATTACAAAAGTCTTTCAGTCCTATAATCTGTTACATCCTCTAGTTTGGTCACCAGATTTTCTTTCATGTACCAGCTGCATACAGTTGGAACATGAGTGGCATATAGTGGCACTTGTGAGGTAGAGGGAGAACAGTATCGACCCCCCGCCTCCTTTAGGCGTGTTAGTTTGTTTTCTTCAGTTCAAACAAGGAAGCTGTGGTGTTGGCGTAAGGGCCTCATGTGTAAACTCTCTCTTTAATGCTCTCACAGCTGCGCTCTACTCTGCACATCATGGCCTAGCTCTAATTTCCCATCAGCCTCTCTATTGTCTCAGCCACTTTCCTTCCAGATGAATGTCACCCATCAACAAGTGTTTCCTCATTGGGGGGGCGACTGCCGAGATTAAAGCCAGGCGCTTATTACCCTTTTATGTTTACTTTGCGTGGCCAATATGGGGCAGCGAGCATTCTCACTTTAATACAGTTTGTTTTGCTCTTGGAATTAAACTAATAAATCATCTTCATAAAAAACTCAGTTTTGATAAAAATGACTACTACAGGTGTGCTTGACTGGGAATAAAAAAAAAAAGATTTTGTAAAATTAGAAACTTCAACATGTATTACTGGGGTTTTCTGGGATTGACCAACACCAAGTGGTACGTCATTATGAAGAGGAATAATAAATATATATTGGTTTTTGAAAGTATTACTAGCAGAAATTGACTCGGTTTCTTAATTGTGATTCTAAATGCAGTTGATTGAACTGGATTTTATTTAGGGTGACGAATAAAACAAGGTAAATGGTCTGTTTATAAAATGCCTTATCAAGTTTGAGGTCTTCCAAGCGTTTCCACTACAGTCAGTCATTCAGCCATCATGCAATGTAATTGTATTAAATTATTTTAGAAGTTTTTGTTGAAACTTCATGTTTTTTAGAAGAGTTTGAATTACATTTAAGACTAGAAACATGTTTCTTTTTACTGTTGTTTTGAAAATAGTACCAAAACTAAAACTTTTTCCCATGTCAAAACATTTAACATTTTTCTCTAACATTTTTCTCCCTTTGACAGCAACGAGCGGGAAGGTATTCCTGCCAATCTTCTCCAGATGTTGGACGTGTGTGTGGAAATCCCTCAACAAGGGATCATCCGCTCACTCAACGTCCACGTGAGCGCTGCCCTATTGATCTGGGAATATACGCGGCAGCACCTCACCTCCGGATCACAAGAAGTCCACTCAGATTGCAGCTGAAGAAGAAGAGGATGCAGACATGGCAACACAGCCGATGTCAAACCTAAACGAACTTATACACAGTTTGTGTGTTTAAAGGACCATCAGATTTTGCATGTTGTGTGTGACCCAAAGTCCTGTCAGGGTTCAGTCTGGTCAGCAGGCATTTTATGTTTTAGTAAGATCCCTAAGACAGTCAGGGTCAGTTATTTTATCTAAATATTGCTTATCATAAATGAACAGAGATTTTATATATTTTGACAGAACTGCTGTATAAGAAGGCATTTGTTGCTCAGGGCAGGAAGTTGTATATGGACTTTGTTCTAATGTCAAACTAAGTAACATATTTCTCTATTTACTAGTTTTTGCTATATTGTCTATGCTCTAAATGTTTTTTTTTTCTTTTTTAAATCAAGTCATACTTTTTATATTAAAATAAACTAACCTTTTTTCACACTTGACTTTATTTGCTTCCTTTCATCATAAAATGACTAATTACTAAAAAAAACATTGAGAACTAAAACCTTAAAAGGGTTAAAGAGCACATTCATGTTTGCATGTGTGTATTCTCCTCCCCCTTGCATAAAATAACAGGCTGCTTTACCTGAAGACAGTCATTAGCTCAAGCGGAAAGGGGCCACAAGAGAGAGCAATTGCTTTTTCAAAGATATCATGCTTATCCATTCTTTAACATGTAAACGCAACAGTTCTATAGTTACAGTAGTATGGATGATCAGGATGGCTTCAGGTTACCTCTGCCGGCTGCGGGGATCAACACGAGCCGAACGGAAGGGACTGAGGGCGGGTTGTCCAAGCAGAGCCGGCTGCTGCTGGAGGCTCTTCTGGTGCTCATGTGTTTGGGTGCTGTCCTAGGTACGACACTAACCTGTGGAAACCTAACTTTGTGTTCATAATATATAAATATTGCTTCCATTTTTATTTTTACACAGTTGATTTATTTTTTTTTATATAGAAAATCAGCGCTTTAATTTGAGAATACTTAAGTTACAGTTTTACTTTTATTGCTGTAGAGAAGAAAACATGTTAATATTTGATCATTTTGCTCCAAGATATTTTAGGAAACAGAAACATTAAAATTGTGCCAGAAATTTTTAAGCTGTTGCTTTTTATATGATTTTTACTATTTCATTGTTGCTGGATCTTGTTCATTAATAAGAAAAAGTCACAACTTCAAACATAAGTTCTACTGAAAGTTCATTGTCAATAGACTCAAAATATCAGTGCCAGTTGCATGAGACTTTGTGATGCGGATGAGTCTTTCAGTAAAGTTCACCTTGTAGGATGTTTGATCTTTCTGTATACAAAAATAGTTTTTAATGTCAATATTTTTAGCCAAAACTGTTAGTGAGCCCGTCCTCTGGATGAGAGGACAGAGCGGTTTTTGGATTCATTTTCTTATCTGGGCCATCCTCTGTCAAGGTGTCCCACATATTGTGAAGGAAACATTAAGTGATTTTCTGCCGAATGTTAGTCTGTTCTGAATGTTATTCAGATAGAAAAGTGGTTTCTTTTCAGCCCTTTCTGAAACTAGGCCAGTGCATTTATGTGTGTGTGTGTAGAAAACACTAACCATAAGACTTTAAAAAGAACAAAAAGGTAGAGCTTAAAGATGTTCTTACTTTTTTACATTTTGTAATTTTATAAATGGAAAAAAATATCTTAGGAATTATAGCATTTTTGTTTTTATTATGATTTAATAAACTCTTTATATCTAGGAATAAAATGGCTTGGTTCATAAGTCTTTTTGCCATTGTAATAAAAAAAGATAGAATTATGCTTCCACGATTTGGGATGATTTCTAAACTAGTCTTTAACCACTGGCTCAAGGTTTGAATCTCTAAGATGTGTTTTTATGCAGGCAATGTTCTGGTCATCATTATTGTGGCGGCTACCAAGACCCTCCATGCAGTGACGTCTATCCTGATCCTGAATCTGGCCATCAGTGACCTCCTGGTAGGCATTGGAGTCATGCCTTTTGTTGCTATGTCCATCATAAACACGGGATGGGTGCGTTGTCCTGTAAGCATTTTCTGTCCTGTCGCATCATGTTTTTTTTGTTTAGGTGACCTTTAGTGTCTTTGATCCATTAGCTATGTCTCCTCTGCCAGGTTCTCTGTCTATATGTTGGGTACTCCTCCACTGTGTACTGCACAGCTTCTGTGCTCACACTGACTGCTATTGCTCTGGACCGCTACTACTCCATCATGGACTGCCTGCGCTACAGTTCCCGCTGCACCCTGTGGAGGACTTCTGCTGTGGTCCTGTGGATCTGGCTCCAGGCTCTGGTCACCTGCAGCCCTCCTCTGCTGGGCTGGAGCTCTGTCAGCTATGTGGTCCCCATGTATAACTGTGGAATCACCTGGGCCAGTACTGTCAGCTACACGGCCTTCATGGCCGCTCTGATCTATCTCATGCCTGCAGTGGTGATCCTCTTCTGCTATGTGAACATAATCAGAGTGGCACGCAGCCATGCACGTAGGATTCATTCCCTGCAGGACTCCGTCCAGCGCAGCAGGTCCCCCTCTTGTGTAGGGGATTCATCACACCAGAACTGCAGGAACCTCCATAGGCCCTGGAGCATTACATGTCACAAGAACAACAAATTTGAGCCTCAAAATAGTAGACAGGAAGAGAATATCTGCCAGGTTGTTCAGGAAGCTCCAAAACAGCAGGGAAGCAAAGTGAGGGGTTTGTTTTCCATCCTGGCTCAAAAAAACTCTCAGCCACCTGAGCCAAACCACCAGCAGCCGCATCATGGAGTGCTGCGCCTCGTCCTGATCATCTCCGCTTTCCTCTTCTGCTGGACACCCTACATTTGCGTGGCTCTGGTTCAGGCCACAGAAGCGGCCATTTCAGGCCAGTCCACCCTCATGCCAGACTCTGCCATTACCTTCTCCTACTGGCTGATGTTGCTCAACTCTGACGTCAATCCTTTGTTGTACGCACTGCTTAGCCAGCGCTTCCAGATGGCTCTTCAGGGACTCTGGCACAGAATTAGAGCTCATCTGTGCAGCCTGTTTAGCACAGAATGGGAGGTCAGAGGAGATGGGGATGACGTCAGAATTACTGACCCAGGCACGTTGACCACAGCCAATCCCAGTACACATGCAAGCACAGAGAATTTGAACTGTGACAACACAAAGTTCTCCTCCTCTGTTTTTACTGTTAGTACCGACTTCAAAAGCCACTCTGAGGTGTATCCTTGTAGCATGCGCCACCATGAAAACACCCCCTCTGTGTTCCAGGATGCTGTTCGTGAGAAGACACACAGTCTGCAGGTCCCTTCTCGTCCTCAAGAGGGCAGCAGACTTCCGTTTTCTGCTCTAACTAAGGAGCGGCAGGCCACTTTTTTCTATGGCCAGATCACAGTGACAGTGGAGCATGATGTCTGTTAGTTATTTACTGCTGATTCTCATTGACTTGGAATATTATTGAGAAGTTAATTTCAGTTGTTCACTTTTAAAAAACATTAATTCATTAAAACATTTCTAAATTAAAATCTGTTTAGTATGTAAAGCTTAAAACTCAGTTTCTCTGAAAATATATCAGTGCCTAAAGCCAAGAAGAAAGGAATTTTTAATACTAAAATGACTTTGTACTGAAAAGTCTATCCATGTACTTTGTATTAAATACAGTCAGAGCTTGGTTCTGCTTCCTTTTGTGTGAATTACTGCATCAATGCAGTGTGGAAGGGAGGTGATCTGCTGTAAGAGCTTAAGGAAAACCAGGTTAATGTAATAACAGCCTTCAGTTTGTCTGCATCAGTCTTACTTTTGACAACAAACTGTTGGGTTTCGGTTGGGCTGCTTGCCAATTAAGCAGGAATACCACATTCATTAAACCGAATGTTGGTATTTTTAGCAGTGTTTGCAGCATAGTTATCAGCAGAGGAAATTCTGAGGTGCTCTAACATTAGCTGATAAATTTTAATTCAGAAATAAAAACAAGAAATACAGAAGTTGTAGCCTGGATGAATTTAGTCTTTTGAGACAATCGACTTTGCTTTATAATCCTCTAAAGAATGAGGCTACGCTTGTGCATACAAGCTGTGAAGAGGCAGCTTCTTATTGTTTGCCCTCCTTATGATGGGATTCAACGACTGTCTGCTGCACAACTGCAAAGTCAGAAGTTGTTGCAGACTTGAAGTTCTCCTATCAATTACTTTACTGGGGGGTGGGGGGAACCTAAAAATAATCATTGTAAATACGATACAAATATGTCAAAATATATATTTTTTTGCTTTTACGATAGCTATACCTTTTTACCTTAATTGTTGAACCACAACAGAAAGCGAGGGAAGAACAAACCTTGTCAAGAAAACTTATCAAAAACAAATCTTTTTATATCTTACATCATGTAATTACACTTGAAGACACTCAGTAGCAGATCTAACAAATCCATCATTTATTCACGCTCTAAATATTTCCTCCTCAGATGTGATATAACCATATGTTGCATCATCTTAGTGTAAAAATCATTCCTTACAAAGGTTTACATTTAAGTCTTGCGTTAATTCCAGAGGAATACAATATAATTATTTATTGCCATAGTAAATGACAATGGGAAACAGTGCTAAATGTACTATTGCAAAAAAAAAAAAAAAAAAAAAAATTATTAAAAAATGCAGTGAAGTGGACAGTTCAACTGTTATGTGCATGCTCGTTCTGTGGTCATCAGTCATCAGATTTTTTTTTTCTCCTACAGGTCCTTGAGGTGAGTGAGCAACTGAATGCAAAAAACCGATATAAAAAGTCTTTAGCAATCTTTTAGCAAGAAATTGACCCCCACAGAAAAAGCAAATAACTCATCCAGATGAGGACAAGGAGAGTCATAATGAAGTGTATCTCTCTGCAGCAGTCTGGTAGCACTGTATTAAACAGAGCAGCTCATAGTGAGCGTGTGTAGTGTGATAATCATACATTCACAACAAGGCAGAGTTCACACGTGTTGCTTCACAAGGCGAGGGCCTCACCTTCTCTCCTGTTTTCCTTTTCCTAAAAGATGCGAATGTTTGAAATATGATCACTGAAAATAGATCAAATGACAAATTTTACTTTTGTAGAAAAGCTGGAGAAAATCCAAGCCATGTTTTATAAACTCTCTCCTAAAGTCACAGTGAGATAGATTTTTACCATCTGTCGTTTTCTCCAGAAATAAAACTGTTGTAGCTCTATAGGATAGCCTAAAAGTCTAAAAGGTGTAATGTGCTATATTAAGAAGCTCAGGGATTGCTTTTATTCATGTTCAGATTCAATTACTGGTTAGTTTTCATCTTGGCTGCTGGTTTTGAAGTAAGCTTTTAACCAAACCCATTGTCTGGGTTTCTTGAAGCACATATATATTTAGCAACCAAACTTTCTGTATCTCATGCACTGAATGAGAATATACTGGTTTAAATACAGTCCCTTGCAAAGGTATTCTTAGTTCTAGAACCTTTCCACATTTTGTCAAATTCCAACCACAATATATTTTATTGGAATTTTATGTTATAAATAAAAATAAAGTTGCAAATTATTGGTAGGGGAAGGGAAAAAGATACACTGCTGGCAGAAACACTAATGGACACACAATTCCCATAATCTTAAGGGGCATGGGAATTTAAGGTCCAGGGAAAACTCAGTTTGACTGAGTTTGGGTTATATTGGAAAGACTTAGTATTGTTGAGTATTGAATCAGGGAGTGTCAGAAAACAAATGAACCCCTTTCTCCTTAGATATAATTGAAAATCACATATGTTCCTTCCACTTTGCAATTTATAGACCACTTTGTATTAATCTATATCATTAGATCCCAACAACACAGTGAGTTTTATGGTTATAATTTTGCAAAATGTGGAAAAAATTCAAATATTTTCAAGACACTTTCATGTCGGCCATATCGGCATGTGAGGAATTATTGTGGAAGATCAGCCCCATGAAAGCCCAGACCCACAGGATGGAGGTTAAAAGTCGCTCTTCTGTTCTGATCCAAAAGAAAGGCTTTTTGAAAAGATGTGTTTTTAGCGCCGATTGATCCTCAGATGATCAGACAGATCTCCTCACACCAAATGAGCCTGTTAGGTCCACAGCTCCCCGGGCATTCCAAGGTGTGAAATATATCTATGTACAGTACAGAAAAGGCAGGAAGGGATTTCTTTTGTTCTCAGGCATTTTTCTTTGGATCAAAATGTGAGTAAATGCGAACCTGTCATGTTTCTTTTTTTTGTTTGTTTGTTTATATTTTTTTTTGTTACTGGAATTGATCAGGCAAGCTGGCAAGTCTTTCAAGGATATGCTGAATAATTAGAAGAATTTAAAGGTTCCGCAACAGTGAGACTTAAGTCATAGTTGATACGGTTTTTAAGTAAAAAACAAAGCTGAGAATGTGTTTAAATCCTATGCATTCTGAGGCTCTGGTATCTCTCTCTGTTTGTTGAATTGTCTGATCACAGCACAGTCTAAACCTATGGTAGCTTTGCAAAACACAATGTAAGCCACTAGTCATATCAAATGTGTTAATGTTCCCCGTTTAGTTATAATGGAATCAACGTGCATATGTTGACAGGGAGGTTCTTCCTCTCCCTCTCCAGTTGAGGCTTGCATTGGCGCCCGTCTCCCCGGCAGCCTCGGCTGGGTCTTCCCGTTTACGCAGCTTTGTAGTGAGCCGGATGATACACTGGTCCCAGTCCTCCGGCAGCAGCAGCATGAGGAATCCAAGGCAGATGATGAATACAGCAATCAGGCGCACCGTGTTGAAATTGATGTCACAGGTGTAGAAGTCAACCACTGGGAAATCATACAAGAATGTGTCAATACAGGGTTATGTTTTTTTTCCCTCTTCAAAATGTTAATATCAGGCAAAAATAAGTAAACATACAATTCAGTTTTCAAATGTTGATTTCTTGCATTAAGAGAAAAATATATCCAAAACAACCCGGCCCTATGTGAAATGTGACTGTCCACAAACAAACAAACAAACAAAAAAACAAGCTTTGAACTGGCCTAGTCAAACAAAATTCAAATACAAATTATATGCTGTGGCATTACCTCAATAGCTGTTCATTTTCAAAGCCGTCCAATGTGGCTGAATTACAACAGTTCTAAAGATTGGACCAAAATTCCTCCACAGTGATGCAAATTTTGAATTTTTAATTGTTTACTGTTTTATGACAGTTTTGTTGTGTTTCCTAAGACTATCCTTTTAATATTGTATCTTTTTGCTGATCTGAAAGAATAAATGTGCCAAAAAATGAAAAACAGAAGAAATCTCTCAGGGTTCAGTTGCCTTTTTAAATTTCTAAAAATAATGTGTGCAAACTATCCATACATGGAAATGTTGATTCTTGATAATTAACGGCATGTCTTTGTTATCATGTTTTTAAATAATCCTGGTGTGAAAAAAAAAGGAAAAAAATGTTAGTCATACTAATTGCAAACTCCCTGCTGCAAGAAGACGAGGTCACTGCAGTGACACGTATTACTGTAGTACCTAATTGCTCCACTAAGAGGAGTCTTTCATCAACTGTTTTAATAATTCTTTAGTGAAAAGTTTGGTCCAAGTGCACCAATAAAATCAGTAAATGTTAATTGACAACTACACAAGTATATAAAAATATCACTCAGTTTTATAAATATAAAACTGACATTAAGAGTATATTTATGAACTCCAAACGAACAAAATTTAAAACTGCAATCAAATCTGAAGATTCAGGACTGGATGAAAAATTGAGACACTTACTGGCATTCACAGGGACACTTAGGACAATGCCAAGGGAAATTAATGTTGGGTATGTTATTGCAATGCCGAAGTTCACTAGGATGTTGAAAGCTGTTGGGAGAAAACATATTACAAACATTCTATGCATTGAGAATGTGAATGAGAACTCTTAGTTTTGTATGAAAATCTTATATTTGTCTTATACCAAAAAGCAATGCTGCTACTCCACAGAGGTAGGCCCAGGGGATGTCTGCAGGTGAGCCAGTGTACTCCACATGAGTAAAATACAGGATTATTGGCACAAAGCTGATGAAAACAAAGTTGGCGCTTCCGACAATGCTCAGGAAGAGTGCAGCCTCTCCAAATTTGGCACTACCCAGGACCATCTTGAAGAGTACCTGAGGATAGATGAGAGAGGAAATGTGTTTGAAAAAAAACAAAAACAAAACAAAAAACCTCTCCCACTTTATAAAGCTGAAGGGTATTACAAAGGGTTTGCCTGCCAGCTACCTGTCATGTTGTGGCTGCTGCTTTGTATCATGTTAGGCAGCAAAGACAGCAGGGTGGGAGAGAAGGAACTCAAAATGTGGCTTTCTGTCCCCTTAAATCAGCCCTTCAGCCTCAAGCCAGCAATCTTCATCAGAGATATCACAAACCTCTGTCTGCTGGCTCTCACAGTTCATACAGTAAAAACTGGAACAGAAATTCACATTTTATTGCAGTGGCATGGTCTCACTTTGGCCTTTCCTCTTCAAATAATTTCTGTCATTTCTTATGCCCTCTACTGCTCGCCACCCACAGATTTTATAGGATTAACATCTGCAAACTGAGATGGTCATGGAAGAAGGCTCCTTTGTCTGTGTTGATTGTTGATTCAGTGACATATTTAGACTCATAATTCCACTGAAAAATCAGGTAGAGTCCTTCAGTTTTTCTTTAAGCTACAGTGGTATTTCAAAGTGTTCCTGCATTATGTGTAGTGAGGGTAAAAGAGAAAAACACGCCTTCATGATTAAGCATCCTCCACCATTTTAGTCTCATCTAATCAAAGCTCAAAGTTCAAGTTAATAGACTCCAACCGTTTGAATTTGTGAAAATACTTTTTTTATGTTTTGACTCCTAAATAACCAGTTGGCTTGTATTTAGAGTCCAACTGCTGTTTTGGAGACAAAGTGACCCAAGTTTTTGCTCTATACCTTTCTTACCATCTGACTCACTGTGTATGGTTAAAAATACATTTAGGTCCTCTTCTGGCCTTGTGGCCGGTGGCAAAAAGAAATGGGTCTCAGTGTCATGTAATATTTATACCCCAAGGAAAGAGTCAAGACTAATTACAGGCTCCCAAGCTCACATTGAATTAAGAAAGTAGGGCAAGATTAGAAACAATTCTTCAGTCCTGTTCATTTTTTAGACTTTGTCATTATGGGTATCAATAATTCTGCCAGTGTTGCTTTTATTAAAAGATATGGATTTTTTCCCCCCTCAAAATGAATGAACTACATTTGGATTTTTCAAAATTTCAGTGTGAAATGTTGTTATTGCAATAAAGAATACATTTATTATGAAGCTTTTACACTATAATCTTTTCTTCTCTTCTGCCACCTAAGAAGGATTTCATAAATAAGCCAGATGAAATATGCAAAGCCATTGTGAATGTTTGCTCCCTTGGGGCCAAATATATCAATAAAAGCCTTTAGACTCGGTGATTCTGTGCTTTGATTGAATGAAAACAGAGTTTACCTTGTAGAGCGCTGACATTGAAGCAGATGCCACGACCAGAGTGATGCCGATGACTGAGTGGCTGTGAAACCCATCAGCATAGGTCATCATGACGATGCCGGCTATGGCCAAGATAGCTGCTACTATCTGTGGAGAGACAGAGCAGCAGTGAGTTATGGATAGGCGACACATTATCTAGTTTAGTAATTATGATAATGAATCTTTTACTGCAGTTTGGGGCCCCAGTAGGTTTCACCTGCTTTTTATCTTTGAGAGAATGCCCCACAAGGTTATGCAAAATATCTAAAAAGGCCTGAGTTGCTGTTTGTTTGCAGAAGGGATCTAATTATTGATTCGCGTTCTTCTAAATCCTAAAAGTCACGCTTCACAGCTTCTTGGGTTTACAGTGCGAGAGCTTCCAGTACACAAGCAGCAGCTTCTACAGTGCTGACATTGATTTCCATTGCACTGCCATCATGATTACAAACCAAACACGCCACCACGATCCGGCAGTCCCCCCACACTTCTCCCACTCCCTGCCTTTATGATTAACATGCCTCCAAGATGACACCAGATCATCTGTTTCATTCCGCTCGCAGTCAGCCTGGATGTACCCAAATATGCATCACTCATTTGTGTCTGTCACATGTTTTGTTTTCATCCTGGAACTGTACAAAAAGCAGGAATCGGCGCTGGGCTCACGGTGGAGCCCAGCTGAGTGGATTAGCTCTTGCGTTAAGAAGGTGTCAGGAAGATAAATGAACTGTGTGTTTTTGCTTGGCCATAGCCCTGAGGCACTTTTTTCTTTTCTTTTGGCAAAATTGCTCTTTCCGCACTGCAGGCTGCCTGTCAGTCACAGCAGTATGTTTCATTTTAGTGAACGCCAGTTTGCCTGCCAGGTCAGCAACAATGAAAGATGTTTCAGCACAAGTGTTTTGTCCTGAGCTAAAAAAAAAAGCACAAGCAGTATTTGATATGGTTACATATGACACTAATTTGTATTTATATTCCTTGTAACCTCTAGAGTTACTATACAAACTAATGCATGTCAACAGCAGTTTATCTGACAGACCAACACAAGTTAGACCAAAAGTGCAAAGTGAAAGGAAAAAATATTTTTTTGAATTAATTTAGAAATGAAGTTTGAAAGAGTAGAATGCCTGGAGCTGGATGGAAGCACAGATGTCAGCATTGTTTCCTTACAGGAAGAAGGACCTGGGTTCAAATCCCATCTGTAATTTAGCTAAGGCAACTAATATTATTAGTTGCTATAATCTGAGCTAGTGAGAGCAAGTAGATATTGAACTGAAATGGCCTCAGGAGGGAACCATGATGTTTCCCCCATTTGTGACTTCTGTCCGCTCAGTAGAAATGTTACTACTGAAAGAAATTGTGCATAATTTGGATTTCTATACTCCTGTCAGGTCTCCAAAGAAAAGTTTGTAAGAATTCACAAGAGTTTCCAAATAAATGAGGTTGGGTGCGAAAAGACAGTAACGCACCAAAAACAACCAATCAGAAGGCTTCTTGGAAGCTGTTTATTTTCTTAGAACCAGCTTGGGCTTTTGTTCCAGGTTGATTCGAGTCTCTCTGGGCAGAAGGTCCTTGAATGTTTACTTCTTCCTCTGGTAGGAAAGTCTATTTTCCTACCATTTGTTCATCAGTGTACCATGTCTACATTAGATAACTGTTGGGGAAAACTGATTCTGCTATTCTTTCAAAAGGTTTTGTTTAATTCCTCTGAGGACAGGGAATTCATGACATGCCGGATACAAATACTACAGTGTGGAAGAGTTTATTTGAGTCAGAGATCTGTACTTTGTCAAAAAGGGAAACATAGGTATTACCCTCACAGGAAAGAACTAATAAATTTGAGGAGAAAGTAAATTTTAAAAAAATGGTTCAAACATTTTATCATGGAAAAAAAAGAACAATGATTGCATTCGGGAAAACTCAACATTATTAGTACAATCTAACGTTGCACAAAATGCCTTGGAGTGTGAAGCCATCTCTCATCAGTTTTGGAATAGTAAGGCGTATGGACAAGCATACTTGTGCATTTCAATTTCAGCTTTTGTGTGAACTTCTTAACACTTCTTTTGAATACTGTGTTACTGTGTATGTGAACAATGAAGAAAATCAGCCTTACAAGACATAAACCCAAACGCAACACACATAAAAGGTTCCCATGAATCTTTCATATTGCAACAACACTGATACGTGAGTCCACTGCTGCCACAGAAGAAGGTAACAGACTATTATCACATCTTTAGGGACACAATAACACTAAATATCCCTAACATCTGTTGAACAAAGCCATTTTAGCAAACTCCATCTTTCTCTTTATTCTGTGACAAACCCATTGTTGATGCCCCGCATTGCCGCAGACTTTCCACACACTGCAGTCCCCACCACCAAGCAACAGAGCGAGAGGACGTACAAGAGGCAGACAAGTAGCATTCTTACTGTTGCCTTACTGATGCTTATCATTACACATAATGGCAGTAGGGAGTAGGGAGTTGGGGGAACACATAAGGGAATGATAGGGTGGTTTGTCAGGGTTTAGAAAAAAAATAAGGGCAATGCTTTCTGCAGAGAGCATAAGGTCTGCAGAGGTGAGTGGTATAGAAGCGTGCAGTGGGAAAAGAGAGGACACTTCACTCTCCAACCCTTACTTTTCTGCTCGTCTCTTCTTGTCCAGGCAAGACACGATTGAATTAGACAGGATCAGTGGTGACTGAACATGCTGTCATTCTACTCTCCAGTACAGTTTATTTAACTCATACAGCCACGTAACAGCCTTAAGAGTTATTTGCTTCATTGGAGGCAACATTTTAACTTACCACTGACCATTAGAGCTAAGATAAAATGTGTCCCATTTATATTATACAAAAGTTCAGAGGGGGACAAATAGAAGCTGATCGTCCATTGAAGGTCTTCCGATTGTCCTCTATTGCCTTTACTTGTGATGTAAATAAAACATAACAAACGCATAGGGAGGCTAAACTCCCTTTCTCTGCAATCGTTTGCTGCAGTCCCAGAGCCTTAGAAATGGTTTTGTAAACATTTTCATACTGACAAATGTCAATAACTTTGTTTCTCATCTATTCTTGATTTTTCTTTTAGATTGAGACATGACTTGAGATCTTCATTCTTCCTACTCCATGTTATCAGACAAATTCTATTTGAGTCAGTCAATTACAATTCAGACAGTAAACAGGATTTCGTTAGACTTATAAAATTGAACCAAAAACGTGGTTTATCTTCTTTTTTTTCTTTTTTTTTACGCAGAGCCTTATTGGTTTGAAGATTGTTTTTCTCCTCATAAATTAAATACTCATTTTAAAACTGCTTTTGTTACCTTTATTATTACAATTTGCTTGATAATCTGACTATTTTGGGTGTGACAAATGAAACAGAAGAAATTTGTAAAATATTTTCCACATCACTGTTAGCCTGCAGTATGAAGATGTGAAGAAGGAAAATAGAGGAGTTCCAATTTTTTATGCTGATAGAATACCATGTCTCTTCTCTAAGCATCACAAAAAAGATTTAATCTAGAATAACATGTTTGTCTATGTTAACCATAAATAAGATAAACCAATTTCTTTCTCTATTTTTGACTATAGATGTCATGATTTGGTCTTAATACAAATCAGTGAAAAACATTAGTTTGCAAGATAAAAACCAGCAAACACTAAATTAAAAGATTAAGATCACTTGGCAGTAGATTCCAGGAGGCAATGGATTTAACCACAGACACTGATGTAAAAATAGATCAAGCTTTGTACACTTTTATACCAATTAAACAAAAAAAAACTTTGAAAAGGATGAAATGGTGCAGCTTTCTTTTTCAGTCATCTTCTGACACAAATGTTTTCTCTCGTGATTTGACACCACAAATCAAATACACTCACCCTGACGCCCATGAAGCGGTCTCTGAGCACAATCCAGGACAGCAGAAAGACAAAGGCTTTGTTACAGCAGAAAAGTGCTGAAACATCTGTTGTGTTGATCTTCCTGAGGGCCTGCAGGTACAGGTAGTTGGTGAGGATCCACAGCAGGCCGAAGGGAGCAACCTTGGTGAAGAACACCTTGGGGGTCAGGCCCTCGTCCCCGAAAAACCTGCAGCACTCCCTGTGTAGAAATGCAAAATGTAGAGCACTGTAGTACTACTTTGGAACTGAGCTTGCGATTTATTCAAGTAAAAAAATTTGTCTCATCACACTGTAGCCTAAAAACTTATCTGTAATGAGTGTGCATAGCAATTCCCACCTCAGCAGTTTGATCAAACAGATTTTTGTCCCACATCATACTGTGTAAGGGAGAAATAAGTAAACATTTAGAAATACAATAAGATCTGCCAAAAGCCACATAGCGATTAATTTTTCCCTTGTCACTGTGAATAAACTGGAAGAGTTTTGTGACTCAACCCCCAACGTAGAGTAGCTTTGTTTAAATAACTGTTAAGTAATTTAAAAAGCAGAATTTTAATTACACAAACATCATCTACAGCAAACATAGAGTTTTTATCCAATTATCTTTTTTGACTCTCCTGACATTTAGGGAATGAATATGATCAAAGATGATTATTTCTGTTCTGTATTTAATCTCAAAATAAAGAAATTTACTCAATAGCTTTTTTTTTTACTGTAACCCAAAACCTTACAGTTGGGTTAGATTGAATTGTATTTGTGACTATGAGTGGTCCAGTCAAAGTCCAGCACAAATACCAATAAGTATAATACAAGAATGTTTAGTTTTAGTTATTTTGCAAAGAGAAATTGGAAAAAAAAAATCAGATGTCTAGATGTCCATTGGTCTATAAAGGGGGAGAATCCAGCTTGAAAAGTCTTTCAATAAAAACTGGCAGACTAAAAATTATTGGCCTGAGTCATTGAAGCAAAATCTGCCCTTCAACTGCATAGTTTTGTTTTATAAGATGGCATGCTGTTCTGTGGTGACTCTAAATATCCATACCTGTGGCAAGTCTTGTTTCTGGCATAAACAAAATCTCTGGATTTTGATAAAATGTATTAAAAAAAAAAGGTTTGTGCCACAAGGCTTGAGTTGCCAATTTAGAAAAAAAAAAAAAACACTAAGCAGCAAATCAAATTATGCCTGGTACATGAAAAATATGGATTCATATTTTTGTATGCACACAAAAAATATTGCTTTAACTTTTACGTGTGGAATCGGGGCAAATCCTGTGTGGAAATAGTTCCATTCCATATATATTCATATATTTGAAATGCCACAGGAATAAGTTATTGCACTGTACACATTTCCATAAAGAAATCTAAAACAACCTTTAACGACAATATTAAGCTCAGCGTTTTTGGACTTTCCTCAAAGCGCTATATTAAAAAAAAGGATAAAATTAGAGTCAGAACATGGGGATAATAAAATATATTATTGTCCCCTTCTTTTCAACCTAATGTGCCTTCTGCACTTTCAGTTTCTTTGCAAATTTTTGACTTCTGTGATAGAGATTGCAAACAAAAATGGCTGCTTCAATTAACATTTTAAAAGATTGTTAATTGGCTGACAATGAAGGACAAAACAGGGGCAGATATTATATAACAGCAGGTATTGTAGAAAAGTGCTTAGCTGCATGTTTGCTAATTGTTCTCCGGTATCTGCACACATCTAATTTAATCTTCTTTTTCAAACTGATCAACTTGTGCAATTATACAAAAGTGATCGGATTTTAGGTGGGATTTCTAAAAGCAATGCAGAGTGAGACCTTGTCAAATCAAAAGTCTAAATACAATTTTAATTAATCAAAATTTGGATTTAAAGATTAGATTGTTTTTATTATTATTATTTATTTATTTAGCTTTGAATTGTGTTGCAGCAATAACTGCCCTAAATTTCCTGCCCATGTTTATTGTTAATGGACTGAGAAGAAAACTAAGCAGATGAAACATTTCACAGTCAAAGCAGATCAGCTCCAGTTGAGAGGTTGCATCTCAGAAAGAAGATTTACATCATAAAACTGTGTCGGACATACAGAGCTAATGCCTCTTTGAAGAAGCATCTTGATCTCTAAAGTCACTCAACAGGGAATATGGAAATGACAGATTATATTGCTAGTTGAACTAAGCTGGTTTATATACAGTAGAGCTCAGCTACTTCTTGTAAAGAAAAAGAATGGTTCTTAGTTGGCTAAAATACAAAGTTTTGCCAGAAAGCACTGGATCAGCTCAGCCATCAAAAACTCAGTGAATTAAAACGATGTGATCACCTTCATGACCAAAATCATCCATTACTTACATATGCAGAATACTTCTGCAAACATCTGGAAAATAATACGTGTTTTTCAGTGTGGTAATGTAATAGGCCGCAATCTGTAAAATCCCTAAGTCAAATCATGAAACCTCTGTAGTCGACTCAGCTATGAAGTGAAGCCTGGGGCAGTGGGATGGAAATGTTTGGGAACCCCTGCTTAAGGGTTCAAACTTTGCTTCAGGCAAGCAGAAACTGACACACAAGTTTTAAATTTGGATATTTACTCGTTTTAATTTTTTTTTTTTTTTTTTTTTTTTTGCTGACAGAGGGCAATTCTTCCAACCTCAATCTCTGCCTGGGCGTCTGCCTCTCAGGACTCTTGCACAAATGGCCGACGTAGTAGACTGGGAAGAAGAGGCAGTTCCAGGTGGTGGCGAACCAGGTGAGCGTGAAAGGGGCATCAAACTGCTTAAAGGTCAGCTTGGCCAGCTGGGTGGAACCCGCCCAGGACGAGCACACGCACATCACCATGGCGACCCCCCACAGGGCCTTCCGCACCTGCACGGCTGTTACTCTGACGCAACAGTGAAGCCTCCGCCTGCTGGTGCCAGACTCTCCGCCAGCTGCACTGGCTGACTGTGCATCTGTGGAGCCCACCACATTCTCTCTGGTCCGGTCTTCTCCTGTGGACGGACAAACATAAGAGGAGAGAAGTTAAACAATCATGTGGACAATTTTAAGAATTTTATTGTTGCAAACCCTATCATCGATGAGTTTTACGTCTTAGACCAACACAAAAATAGTGCACAATTGGGATGTAGAAGGAGAATGACGCATGATCTCCAAAAGTCTTCAGTTGCAATTGCAGTTGAAGTTTTTTTTTTTCCAGGTATCCACAGTTGGAAAGTGATGATCAGCCACACCCTCAAGTCTTCTGGAACGTCAATTTCAGCATTTCACTGCATTTAGCTTCATCCATCCATTAGCTCAAACCAGCTTCCATTTCCCTGCTGAGGAAAAGTATGCCCATAGCATGATACTGCCAATAAAAAAATATATATATACATATATGTTTTGAATGTGTACCAAAAAGCTCAGTTTCTCAGTTTTTGTTCCCGTCTGACCACATTAACTGCTGTATATAAAATGAGATTAAATTACATACAGGACTCTATTTACTATAAAGGGGTTGTTTGCAAGCATTTAGTTGCCCAGATTTCATTTAGGGTATCATAATGCAAAGTCAATAAATACATATGCATTGCATAAACTTCCAGATGTTTATCAGCAAAATAAAAAGAAAACGATTCATCACTACCCTTGTACTGAACAATTATGAATTACCTTATGTTGTCACATAAAAATCACAGTAATAGGCTTTATAGTTTGTAGGTAAAACTTGACCAAACGTGAAAATCTCAGTTTTAAAAGGAACTCAATGCAAACGGGTGTAGTTATAATTATTTTTGCAGTCAAACTAGAAGAAGAGGTGGTAATTTTGTGTCCTGAACGACTTACTTTTACGTCTTTCCAGATAAGAATAGCTACTTCTGTGGTTTATATGAACTTGAAAGTAATCAAACGTCTGAGTTAAAAATATGATAATCAAGCCTGACAGGCATCAGCCAAACAGAGGACAAAAGAGGACAGATCTGATATCTAATCCAAAACCTCCCCTCCCATGTACAGAAGGGGTGGAGGTGCATGTGCATTTGTACAAGTCAACAATGACACATGCACACACATCACCTTTTAACTTTTCAATTTTTCCTGTCAAAAAACGTAACAACTGTCTTCAATAAATCATCCAACACACACACATACACCCACTCTGCTGCTTTAGATCTGCTTACCTAAATTATTTTGTTGCATGTATCCTTTAAAATAGCTTACAGAAGATTACTATTGTATATTATACATACTATGAATGGATGAAGAATATTATTTGCAAAGAAAAGAATGTAAGCAGTAAAAACTAAAAAACTATTATGTAAAGAAAATGATGGACCCCCAACACATAGCCTGTATGTCCTCCTAAAATTAACAAAAATAAACATTGAAGTAAGTCCTGACTGTTGAAAGAGAGCCCCATGGTGTGGTTAAAAGAGTACTACTATCCTCTGAAGCCCTGGAGGAGAGTAGTACCTTTTGAGTCTATAATGGGATTTTAAAAAATTTGCCATCATTCGGTATGAAAAAAATTGTCGTCAGAGAGGAATGTTCAAACCCATTGCCCAGGTCTGACTATCTCAGCGACTTCAACCTGAAAGTGGACACACAAAGACGTCTCCAAAACCCCTAAACTGTAACAAAGGACCGACTGCTCTACAGCACATGGTAAGTTACAGCATAGGGCTTCATGGAGCACATTGAGGTTCTGGTACTTCTCAGCAAAAAAAAGTCATTTGGAATGGGGCCAGGAGTTGCACAGCAGGGAAGTCCTTATGAACATGCTCTTGCTTTTTTTTTTTCTTCACAATTGTGTCACATTATCCACCTCAAATAAATTTGAACACATTCATGTCTATCTTGTGACTATCAGTCAACCAAAAGTCTCCAGTAACAGCAACAGAAAAGTAAACAGCAACCCAACAGCAGCTTTGCTCCAATGCAGCTTTATAATAAGGTCTGTTTACCTTCTATGGCTGCCTTCCAACAAGTTAAAAGGGAGTATGCCCCCGATAGGGTTTAAAATATGATGAGGAGCCACAGGGGACAATAAGCTGATTCATCTCTGCTGCATGCACCTGACTGAAATACTGAACACACTTAAACAAGCTTTAGTGAGATAAGAATGATTCTAACTTCACACTTAGAAACAAGTAGCTTGTTTTAAGCTATACATTTATTCTGTGAGAAAAAGTATCCACCCATGTTGGATGTGCAAAATCTGCATAACAACCATTAGAACCTCTCCATATGAAGAAGCTATTTGGGAAGGAACAATGAAAAAACTGCTTTGTTTTTGAGCCCGAATGTCATAAAAACAACAAATTTTTAGTTTTCTTGATGCAACTAAGATGTCTAGCTGCAGATAACGATTATTATAGTAGCAATTGAGTTTATATTATTTTGATGATAAAGCAATTGCTAATATAACTTTTTGTGTCTGCAATGAAAGTATCAAGAGAAATGTTGCTGCCAGGAACACATATTTCTAAATCACAGTCTGGTTTTGTTGTGACATGATGAATCAATAAAAACCTTAAAAAAGGAAGAAAGAGAAATATGGATGTCTATACATGTCTGGTGCAAAAGGATGAGAGTTAAGTTGATCTATTCTGAGCTCCAAGCCTCTTTGTCTTCTTCTGAAGGTCATCTCACGTCTGTACTGCCCAGTTTTTGTCTTTCCTGGGAACCCGTCCCACATCCTGCTGCGGAACACTCTATAATGCACCAAGGCTTAATCTCTCAAATGCAAACTTCAGCCAATCCAATCAGCCCCAAGGCACACTCAGGGTCTGAGCAGGCACTTTTTAGTGACATGGCAATAAAAATGGCAAAAAAAAAATATCGATCATCCTGAACCACATGTTCAAACCTCCCTGACAGGGAAACAAAATATAAGTTAGTATTTACATGTAAAAGAGGGTCATTGTTTTATTGGAGCTCCTCTGATTAATTTCTCTAATTACATAGTTAGTGCCTTGCAAAACAAAGAGAGACACGGCCAAGTGTCTAGAGGGGCTGGAGAGATCCACAGCTCTGGTGGGGGAAATTGACCACAGGACAACTATTAGTCATGCACTTTATGCATTTTGTCTTTCAGAAAGACCAAATGTGATTAAGTCCAAATGTCTACAGGATAACTATTACTTGTGTGCTTTACACATTTGGTCTTTAAGAAAGAGTGGCAAGAAAAAAAAATATTGTCAAAAGAAAGTCGTGAGAAGTTCTAATTAATAAATGGGAAGCTGGTTGGTTTATGTGAAGACTGATGGCTCTAAATCCAGATGGTCTTCCCTTCACCGTCCAGCAGGACATCAACCATCAATGGTTCAGATCAAGGAGTCTAAACTATTTGTTGGACACAAATTAGAATAACCCAGTCAAATTCCAAATCCAACTTTCTTCATATGTAGGTTTGATGCTTACTGTAACAGGTTGGCCTTTTACGGCTGGATTTTTCAGTGCAGATAGATGATATCAGGCAGAGTTTAGGTGGAACAGCAGGTTTATTCCTCCCAGCATCAAGAACAATGTCACACTCTTGGTCTTACAAAAATCTCAATGTCTCAATATCTGTCTCACAGGTGAAAATTGCAATCTTAAATAGTCCCAGCTGTGACAGTTAAAACAATCTGAAAATTCATAAGATAATCCCATCTTACCCTGTTCCCCTTAATCGAATAAAAAACATTTTACTATAACCACATCAACTTCCTTTTTATAAATATTTTTTTATGTTTTATCCTTACCCTTACTAAAACACCATAAAACAGTACACCATAAAACAATACACCCCTCTCCCATTCTTCTCAATGGTCTCTCCCAGGACCTATAACATTGTCCAGCCCCTTAGGACAATATTTGTCCAAACATCCTGAGAGGACACAGAAAAGACAGGTGAGTCACTATATTAGCACATTCCATACCTAATAAATTATGCACATCATTTATTTAGTTTTATCCACCAATAGCTCATTGCTCTGAGTATCAATTCTCCTCTCTTCACAGTTAACCACCTCCACTGGCCAATGAGGAGCAGCTGTGCAGAGCCCAGAAAAAGGCTACACACCAATACCTAAAATACTCAATAAATACAATTAAAACTTCCTGAGTGCAAAATGTTATTAATTTATAGATCTACTTTAAAAGTGCAGTGCTAAATAAAGTGCATAGTGAGAAAGTGCAAATGTTTTTACAGTGCTATACAATACATTGAATAAATTAATTCAGTAATGAAGGCCTCTTCATTACACTTACCTATTTGAAAGTCATTTTCTCCTGTTCTTATCAATTCACAATTTATTCACTCCTTTGTATAGAATTATAAACAAGCAGATGTGATACACTGGTTTGTTGTTGCAATGTGAGAAATGTAATAAAACTCAGCACTGTTGCTCAATGCTTTTGCTATTGGATATCACGGAAACAAACACTAGCTGATGAACTTCACACTGTCACCAACTGTGACTAATCATATCATACCAACTGTGAGTGCTGTTGATGAACAATATGGAGTGAGGATGAACTAATTAGTGTGATGGAGCTGGATGGCTGGACTGGCAGAGCAAAAAAAAACAGGAGGCTTTGCCAGTAATGCCATTTGAAGCAATTAATTGCTGTAAATAAAATGCTTGAAAAATGATGTAACAGCTAAATTGTTAACTGTGATCTTTTAAACTTATCAGTACATAAACAAATTTCCTGTCAAAGAGACACCAAGGATAAACAAGCATTTGGAAATGAACAGCAGATCTAAATGTGGTTAAGACCTTTTATTGCTGTATAACAGAGATCTTTAACTCAACAGCTTCACGTATCTGAACCATTTTGTGTCCAAATGCATTTAACTCAATCATATTAGGAAGCTGTGGAATCCCTGAAGACAGGTTGAGTGTGTTTGGCTTGAAAGTAAGACACAAACTGATCTGCTCTGACAGCTCTGTATTGTTTTTCCTTCTCCTCAGGTATCTATTCTCAGCTGTTTATATAAATCAGAACTTCTCTAAATTTACTA